ATTACAGAATGCAATCAAACCTGGTGAAATTAAGGAAACTCATTACTAATCAATGCAGTCCTACAGTACATATAAGAATGCAAACAGGTAAACGAACATTTTGTATACTGGCTGCATTTTACTGGAAAGCCATTTAATGTATATAAAAGTAAATTTACAATCAGATTTGCAAGATTTTCCTGTCAACTGACAGAAGTTGGAACTGAGATGGTCATTATCACTGGATCCCTGCATTCTTAATAATTACTGCTATAAGCCTTTATTTATTTGGAATGGCTAATAACAACTAAGAATGACTTTTGTAATTAGGCCCATATAATAACCAATTTGTGTGAACGACTCATACATACACATATCTGTGGAAAAAGAATCCTTTCTTTATTTTGGATTTTCTGGGCTTTTGCATATCTGCCACTGAGTGTTAACATAGATTCATATTCGCCTTCTTATCTAATAAGGAAAATCTGAGAAAACAAATGATACCAAAGGTTGGTGCTTGTTTCATTTCTTTCATAAACAAAGTCATCCACCATGCAGTGATGGTGTAAAAAAGTAGAGTCAGATTAAGTAGTGGACTGCACTGCCTTTAACTGCAATAGCTGCAATCCAATGCTTCCAGTGATTGGTGATCAATTGTTCACATTACAGTGTAAGAATTCTGATTCATTGCCTCATGGCAAACTGTATTAACTTAGTCATATAGAAGGTATTCTAGTATGTATTTCTCATTTTGGGTCCTATCCAAACATGTCTATGGAGTTTAGATCTGAAGTCTGTCTTGGCCATTCCAAATATTGAATTTGTTCTTCTTTATTGATTCTCTAGTAGAGAAGTTACAAAAGTAAAATAGTAGTATGTTGGGAGCACTGTCTTGTTACCCAACCACTGGTGCTTCAGCTTTAGCTAACAGAGATAGGTTGATAATTTCTTATAAAATCTCTGACAGGAAGCTCAATTTGCGCTTTGTCAATGATGGCAAAATTTTCAGATCCTTAGGCAACAACCATCTCCAAACTATACGGTATCCCTTCCATGCTTGAGATTTGATTATTGTAGAATTCAGACTTTGATTTCTCCCAGATGTTTAGCTACATGGCTTCAAAAATTTGATTTTAACACAACTGTTCTTCGCACATTTTTTCAGAAATATGGACAGTTTTGGCAATGTTCAAATGAACATCAGTGTTCTTTTTAATGAGTGTTGGCTTCTACATTGTCATGAATCCTATTTCCTTACCCAGTGCCTTCTATGATTGGAATCATGAACACTTGACTTGGGTCAAGATAAAGGAGACCTGCAGCTTCTTAGAAGTTGCTCTGTAGTCTTTGTGATTTAGATCACAAAGTGATAATTTTATGCTGTGGTCTTTATGAGATTTTTGACAGAAAAGCCACAATTTCAAAAATCTCAATTTTCAAATTATAAATCTGTCTGTTGATCGGTGGGGACCCAAAACTGAAATATGGTTTCATATTTTTTTTTACAAACAGTTAAATGTTAATGATTTTTTAACAAGGTTCTCGGGAATTCATTTTGAGCAGAGCACTGTAGATCTTAAAATCTATTTCTTGAGAACTTCACTGTGACAAAGAGCCAAAGTTTGTCAAATTTATGTAAGATGGTGCTGGCCCAAATCAACCCTGGTTGTTTAATGAATTAATTCTATAACTAGTCCTAGTTATCCTTTCAGTTGGCTTAAATGAAATAGGGAATGTTTCCCCCCCCCCATCCTGACACAATCATGTTGGATGACTTTGTTTATTAAATGACCCTTTTTTATTTGTTCACTCAAACACCATTTATGTACCAGGAAGGCCCATATAAAAATATCAGAAAACATTCAGTTGCAAATATATATAATTCAGAAACTCCAATGGGGGAGAATGCTTCCTCACAGAACTGTAGATCAGGATCTATTGGAAGGCTTCTGATTAGTAGTAGATATGCATAAACCTCTGTATCCCAATTCTTTTAACAGCAGCTAATGAAATATCTTTCCACCTAAAGTCAAATGAAGAAAGCAGGATAACCAAGAAAAGACTTCTATGATGTCTTTGTTTTAGTATACTGGTTATGAAAACATTTTTTTAAAGATTGCAAACATGGTCAGGGAACATTCTGCTCTTTTATTCTTAATATATATTTTTGTTACATTTCTTTAGATCTCAAAATGTTGGTAAAAAATAAAATAAAGCAGATCTGACAAGTGATTAAGTCCATTATTGCCCATTACTGTTGTAAGTACTCTAAATTACAGGTCTTGGGTTGAATATGTAGTTACTTTTGCTCTGTTAATATGTCTGAGGATTACATTTCAGAATCCAACTCTTCTACATAAGAAACTGGTTTAGTTTGCTTGTTTAATTTTCTTCACTACCATTAAGATTGCTAATCTAACTTTTGCAGTGGCAATGTCAGCACAAGACACCTATCAAATTTTTGAATCTCCAAAGAACAGCCTTTAAAAGTGGCATTAAAGGATAATATTTCTTGCCATTCCTAGTTAAATCTTGACCAATGTGTTAATGATTAAAGGTGCTGTAGACCAAATTTTCCAGTGGGAATTATAAGAACACCTTAAAATAATATATGAAGGAGAATACTATGAGTTAATTTTTGTTTTGTTTTAATTTAAACCAGGATGATTTTTTTTCCTTCTTAGTCTATCTATAATATACTGTACTTTTGGTATTCCCTGTTAACTAGAGTCAAGGTTAGTTATCTTTGAAGTCCAAATCACCTAGTGCTGCTATTTTCTGAAACACTATATATTTATCATTCTGTAAATCAATCTATGCTTTGTTAAATATTCTTTTTATTATGCAGAAAAGTACCTAAACTCTTGATTCACCAAATGTCACTATTTTCTTAAGTAGTGCACCAGTACTGTTAATACTCCTTTATAATGAAGATACATCGTCATTTAATTATGGCCTTTTTTCCAGCTTATTGAAACCAGACACTGTATTTAATTCTCTCTCAGTTGTAATCTCAGGATGAAGTTTGCCTTTATTTCAAGACTTCTTGAGTCTATATTATGACTGTTTATAGAAAGATCAGATTTAACGAACATATTTGACTATATTGGGAAGTGAGTTGGATGCATAAATAGGAGTAAGCTAAAAAAACAAGGGGGAGGGTCCCAATCCTGAACATATTTCTTAAAAGTATGTCCCTTTGAATGGCAGAGAATTCCTTCCAATTGAACACAAATTAATTGGAATGCCAATGATCCAGTGTCACATATGTGTCTTCTTTTAGCATCCTTATGATAAAAGAGACATAGTATGCACAGGGTTCTTTTTATAAAATATTATTTAAAGCTTTCACAATTGAGGACAATTTTAAGGATGAGGAAAAGAAAAAGATGTGCCCTATAAGATTAATCCAGCTGAAGTTCTATATCTAATTGTGCTCTCAAGCTTTGCCAAATGATTTGCTTTTTGTATATTAGGACAAAAGATTTTCTGTGTATGGCTGAGCAGAGGTTAACCATGCATACCCAGCAGCTGCACAGGAGCTGAGAACAGAACTTGGCGGGGGGGGGGGGGGAAAAGGATTTGATATAGCTTAAATGCATCAATACTTGTATATTTATTTTGTTTGGTGTCACTTTTTTATATTCACCTGAAAAATGTATATAAGATTTTCAAATGCTTCATTCATTTATTTGGAGAGAAGAAATATTGGCCTTATATTAAGAAGCAGTTGTGTTTTTTAAAAATATATTATGAAGATTATATATTGAATTTTGAATATCACCTGAAATAAGTTTGCCTCCCATTCACCATCACCATCCAAACGGCCAAATAATTTTTTAAGTTTTGAAGCATTTGTGTGGAGCATAGCAATCAATACGTTGAAATGTTTCTTTCAACTTGAAAGGTTTCCTTTTCAAAAAAAAATATCTTTATTTAATCATGAAATTAGGTGGCTGTCTACTCTGAAGTAAGACTTATAAATTTCAGTAGGAACAACAAAAATACTGGTAAAGATCATATCTGCAGATGACCACCAGAATTTGAGAAATTATTTGAGAGCACTACAACTAATTTTGCCACTATTTTATTAATGGTAGTGAGGGAAAAAAGACGAGTTTACAAAACTGCATTAATGGAAAGCAACATCTGGGGTTTTTTTTAAAGAAAAGCAAAAAGTTACAATACAGTATTAGCAAGCCTTGACCCCTTAATATGCCTTATATAAAATTATCTATAGGTTTTTGGAGACCACTACACTAGCACAGAGGTTATTTAAACATATATAGCAATGCTTGCAAATACAAGTTTTAGACTGTGGGACAATTTACACAAGCAGCTGAAACACTTACCAAGAGTACCAAGAGATTCAGCTTATTTGGATTGATATTTTGCCTTCAGGCAGATTGAGTTTGCAGGATGTTCTGCACAGATTAATTGATCTTTGGTAGCCAATAGATTCAATAGATCAGGACGTAATTAGAACAGAAGGAATCAGGGATATTGCATCTCAAAACTCAGGGTCAAAATGGCTCTCAGGCAACTCCCAAATTTGCTTTCTTAGCAAATGCTATGAAACATACATGTTAACAGAACAAAATTTTATGGGGATGGATCTTTGTTTTCCATAAATTTCTCCTGTTTTATGGCTGTGGTTTTGTTTAATATGTGGTAATGATGTATTTTTCCTGCTTCTTAAAAGCCAAAGTTATTCTGCCTTACATTGGAACTTTGTCAACCTCTTTATCAAAATTAAAGTCAAGCATCTTAGGAAAGACTCTCTTCAGAAGGACCCATTTAAAATTGCATCCAAAATCCAATTGATGCAACGAATGGATGAGATTCAGCAACAAACATCTTCATTGATTATAGAATGGGAATTCTAATAAAAAAAGGTAACAGGTTAAGAATAATGGGTGTTATGCGCACCTATTGCACCCCCAACATTAGTAGTTATTAGTACCCATTATCAAATAAAAGCATATCAACATGCAGAATATGGGCTATGTATTGTAAAGGATATGGCACTCCCAGAATAAGGTGAGATTTCGGAAATATCTTGAAGGTCACCACACTCAGACTTGATAAGAGATATTGAGAGGCTTTCTGCAGTGCTAGGAGGATGTGCTGGTGAACAAGGGTGATGGTTCATATGATGTGATGACATCTTGGTCCTCAGACTTGTGGTCTCTCTTGTTAAATCTAAGGATTCTGGGGAGGCTCTGTCTTTCCCAGGGAAGGAGGCAGAAGGAGCCGCTAAGGGGTTCTGAAATGGGTACGCCATAAGGGGCAGAGGAAAGGGATGGCGAAACGAAGATGAAGTGAACCCCGTGGTGGCAGAAAGTGGAGATTGATGGAGAGCAGCATGATGGCTGCCAGGAGGTGGGGCAGAGGCAGGCTGGTCTGATGAATTTTTGCGGACAACTAGGGGCAGTGCTTCTGTTTGGTCTGTGGAATTAGACAGTGGCACATTCCCAAAGGTATCTAGTGGGTTTGGAATGATGATGTCCCCGAAGCACTGGAGGCGCTGGTTTGCTGTGTGGAAGTTGTGGTTCTCCCCATTGACAGCAAATCTTGCTTGGGGGATCTGAAGAGGTGGGAAGACCTGAGGAAGTTGACGTACAGGTTTTGAAGAGAAAATCTTGACCACAGTGTCCACAACCTGAGACATGGCAGTGTTCAATTCCTGCTTTAGCGTCTCAGCTAAGTGCTTGCCTTCTGGATGAAAAGAGTTGGGCCCATGATCTTTTTCTTTGGGGCCATCTTTCCTGGGTTTGTTCTCTGCTATCTCCTGTTCTCTAATCAGAGCTCTTGCACGATCAATAAATTGCCCTGGGTCCAATTCACACATTTCATTATCCGACCTCCCCACAGAATCTCTCGCCCTGACATCCAGTGTTTCCGAATGCAGGCTGTCTTCGGAGAGGTTACCAGCATCTTCGTCATTTTCAGAATCTGTGCTGTCATAGATTTGGTAGAACTTTTCCTGAAGCTGGCGCAGCTGTTTTTGCATGTCCTCCAGCTGCTGTTTCAGCTGTCTGCGCTCCTCTCGCTTCTGTTCTTTCCTAGCTGAAACCAGCTGCTGGAAACTCTGTTGCTGCTGTTGAGGCAGCTTTTGCTTGCGCTTATTTTCTCTGTAACTTTCTCGGGGACTCACAGACTGTGGAGCCATCTCTCTTTCATTTTCATTGCCCCTTAATGCCACGCTTGGGGAATGGCTCATCCCTCGAATGATATTCTCAACCCGGGCACGCTTAGCTCTCAGGTGCTCATCGCATAACCGATCCATATCAAACTGGCTCATCGTGGGTCTGCCAAATGGAGAAAGACACTCTTGGGGGCTGTCTCTTGAAGAGTTGCTGCACACATCCTCCTGATGTACTTCTGAGCCTGTGCTGGAGAGGCCACTCGCTTGAAAGCTGGGCTCGTTGCCACCATTTTTGTTCATGTTATTTTTCAACAGCTGGGAAATTATAGTTGCTCCTGGAAAAGGCATCATGGCATCTTCATAGGAGTTTGCCCTCTTCAGCAGCTTGCGAAGCACATTTGACTTCTCCCCATCTGCATGCTGCACCACTGAATACTCCACATCCTGCTCGGAACCTTGGGGATTCATGGCACTAAAAAACGATGCTCTCGCCTTTGCAAAAAAGGCAGATGCTGTCCCTACCGTCCGTTTCACTCCAATGTCAACTCTTCTTCTCTTGGTCTGCCTACTTAAGAGGGCTGTGCTGTCATGGTCAGGCATCACTGAACAGTTATTGTGCCATCTTCAAAAGCTTGTCAGCTGGGCACAGCTCAAGAATCCTGGGACCCTGGCCAACAGAACAAAAGGACTGATGAATCATTTTCTTTAAATTTCTCCAAATTTCCTGACCTCAATCCTGAATCAAATGCAAAATGCATAGGCTCTGGGATTTATGGCACATTACAATTATTGCAATTTATTATGCACTCTGCTTGAAATGAAACACTTTAAATATTTCTGCTCCACTGGTTTAAGATGGATTAAGAATTTTTTTTTTAAAAAAAAAGCAGGAAAGAGGAAAAACTGCTTAAGCACCAGTAATATATGGGTCTTTGCACAAATGCCTAAAATAATACTGTTTATCTTTAGAAGAAAAAAAACCCCTAAACAGTAGATTAGAAGAACACACGACATTGACAACCAATTGATTAAATTTAGGGTTTGAAATAATGTCACAAAATAAAATGAAAGTAGGTCTTGTTTCTTAGGTAAGGCTATCATATATAATTTGGGCTTTAAAAAAATCAAATTTAGTTGCAAAACAGATTTGAGATTAAAACCAGAAATTTTGTTTAATTTTATAAGGGTATTCCAGTATATCTGTAAGTATGAGCAGGTGCAGCGTGCATACCTATAGACACATATGTTAAAAAGGATGATACAAACCTTAGAAATCTTTATAAGAAAACTATTTAAGGAAGAATTTACATTTTGGTTATAAAATACATGTCATACTGCATTTTGCAGTAAAAATAGGAGTTTCGAAAACATATAATTCCCACGTCATCATTTTAAGCATTCCAGAAAGGGATAAGATGGGGTGGGGGTGGGTGGGGGACAGAATTTATCATCCTTGAGATATTTTCCCATTTCATAAGATATGATATGTGACATCAAGTTCTTTGCATGAAGTAGAACCAAGGCATTCTCAGCACTGTATCATTGTCCCTTACATCAGCTTCCCAAGATAATATCTCAGGTGACTTATTGAAATAATTATTTCATGCAACATGGTACTCGTATAAAACCTTATTTCCTGCAAAACACACACGCACACACGTACACACATAAAAAGAAAGGGGGAGAGAGAGAGAGAGAAAGAGAGAGAGAGAGTGATTCTGAAGGAAAGAAACTGAGAGAGATGAAAGAAAGCAACATCAAGCAATAGCGTGAGAAAGGCAGATATATTTTCTTTTATAGGAACCATCATTGTTTCCCAGGAATACAGAATTTAAAAAAGAAGACTGATAACACATTTCCTTGCATTTTATAATAGGCTCTTGACATCATTCATGACTTATTAACCATGATGCTAAACTCACATGGCATATGAAACATTACAGACGTCTTCCGGTACCTTCAAGTTGAAAACTATACCAATGTAATATTAATTTTTCCCATACTATGTTTATCTAATATTAAACTCCACATTAGCTTAACAGTGCACAGTTTCCACAATAATAGGGTATCTTGCCAAAGGCAGCATTCAGACTTTTGGATCTGTTCCCATCTGTTTCGGTTCACCTGTAAAAACATCTACGTGCTCCCTAGGACTGCATCTGTAGCTGCTTCTAAAGAATGACTACCCATGCAAATAAGCATAATTTCAGCCTGAAATAATCTACGCTATCAGCGTGTATAGCCTGGGTTTGTAAGTGTAACAGTAAAAAAAATAAAAATAAAACCCTACAAAAACTTTTAGAATGAAACCTATATTTGTTTGTTTATCATTTGAAGGCTATGCAAGCATTCAGTTATTTTGGAGGTTATAAAATAATTCTTAAGAAATGCTGTACAAGCTTTGGAATATTCAACTACATTTTTAAAAAAATTTTTTGCAGGAGGCTACACAGTTGTTAGTAGTTTTACTTAGAACTGCTACTAAGAAACACAAACACACATACAGAATTTTGCAATAGCAAGTATAACTTTGGGTTGAACATATCTGATTGGCATCTTAGTATAAATTCAGTTTCACCACAACAATCTTATGCAGTGTACTTCTTTCTTCATATATTGTTTCCACTGAGATAAAAATACTCAGATTATATAATAGAACTGGATTTACACAAAGACCTAAGGATCCAATTTTTAATAATTAGAATAATTAAAAAGATACCTTATTGTATCGTGTCATACATGGAATTATGTGAGAAATTAAATGATTCCAATTCCCTGTGAGATAAAAGGGATTTCATTACTAGGTGGCAGTGGCCTTTTTTCCCCTCTGTTTATTTCGTATGATTATGGATCTAGTTCAGATCCTTTGTGTATAAACAAGTATCAGTGTATTTTCAGATATATGCTGCTTCGTTTAATTTAATGGGAACATTCCACTTCACAACAGAAAGTCATTTTTTCGGCTTCTAGGTTAATTACAACTAAATAACCTTGCCCATAAATAAAAGGCAAAAAAAAAAAATTGTGCAGGGGTGAAAGTCCCCTACATGGGAAAGATTTGTAGCCTGTCATTATATGCTGATGTAAATACCCTTCTGAGGTCTGCCTCTACTTTCAAAATCTGTCATCACTATAAGTCTCAAAGAGGTTGCTTGTTGTTGGGGTGCATTAATGAAAGTGCATCATTTTAGAAGGGACATAAAGATATTAGCAGAAAGGAAAAGCAAGAGCAATACAAATTTTAACTTGAACTTTAGATTTCAATGGACCTCTGATATATATAACAATATTCCCAATATGCTTTTAAAAAAAATCGTCCCTAATTTCTTTCTCCTTTCATTGTATTTCATTTAAGGATGGAATGAGGCATAGGATGTCTGCAAAGCTCATAAAATGTTGAATTGAGAAAAGTCATAAGGTCAATGCCATGGATCTATAATCCAAAGAATTCATTTTTCTTCTACATCTTTGCTTACAGTGGAGATACCAGAAGGGAAGGCCAGACTATCACTGGAGTATTGCTTATAATTGATACGTATTAATTGGTCCTCTACTTTCCTCATTTTCCTTGATTCCCGCCGACACTCACGCTATCTCTTATATGACAAACTTTATATTTTGCCTTCCAAACTTAAGTAATTATTTTACATTATGTTTTTACCAGGGCTGAAAAAATGCCCCTGGATCAGTCTATTGATTTGAAAAGTGCCAGAATGCATCAACATTCTGAGGGAAAGAGAATGCTGCAGAAAAATCTAAGATTCTGAATCATCAAGAATCAGATCTTTGGATAGGATTGTGGTGAGATTTTCCTACTAGATATGTGGGGAAAAAAAACATATGCAGAAGGATAAACTGGTCATTGAATTAGAGAGTGTGCTCCTGTCCAATGTAGAGGAAAGCAAATCTGCTCAGCTTGATTTATTTCTTGTTCAGAGGTAATTCAGAAGTCATTTAAATTTTAGCTTTCATTATGGTTCACATAAATATCGTTGATTAGTTTACTGGTTTAAGCTTTGTACATTTTAAGTTATTCTTGACAAGTCCCTCTCTGCCAAGCTTTCATTATTTGAGCCTTCAACTTATATAGGACTTCAAAAGGGCTCAGTTTTTCAAAGTTGCTGAGAGGTACAACATAAATAGTCTGTTTTTATAGCTTCCGATAACTGCACGATGTAATGAAAAAAAAGTATTCCCTAAACTTGGATAATACTTCTGAAATCAACCCTCTCCTCTATTCCACTGAATTCCCAGTCCACCACACCCCACCAAACATACACATTGCAAAAGATATGAGTAGCAAATATTATCACACATATGTATACAAAAATACCCATTGCTCACAAGTACAAACATTCTATTTCAGAAGGCATTTCAGTCCTCCATATCTTAAATACATAGTACACGTGGATTATATTGTTTTAGGTGATACTACAGTAAAGCAATTATAGTGTATATTACGAATTTTTGCTACACTGCTTTTCCACTGGTACAATGTAGATTGAAATAAAAGATAAAATAAAAGCTAACCTAAAATAGGTAGAATGGAAATTTTTTTGGGGGGGGGAATTATCTGGGGGAAAAAAGTAATTTTTATAGGAAGAATTTCTAATACATTTTTTAAAAGTCCAAATTGATATAAACTGCTGATTGTGAAAAACAGCAATGAACTTTTCAAAGCGAAAGTGCAAATTTTAAAATTGTTAGTTCTTCTCATAGAATGCAGCTACCTTTCTCCTTCGTTGCACACAGCACTGCATGCCATACGCAAGTAGAGAAATTGAAAGACACCCTCAAATTCTTTAAAAAATAGATTAAGCAACATTTTTCATCCAACAGGATTGGATGAAACACATTAAATGATGTCAGCAATCCATATCAATTGTAAAACTTAAGTCCATTACATTGCACTGACTTACTTGGAAGTATAAAATATTTTTGCTGCACTTCAGAGAAGTGCAAAGCATGGATATGTAAAATTTGCATAGCTTCACTACCCATACAATAGAATACAATGCCTTCTGAAACATTGTGATGGAATTTAGAAATAAAGCTCATTTTTCTACCACTGATTTTTTTTTAAAAAAATTGAATTATGACATTATATAAAAATGTAAATGTCTGTTATAACACAAACATCATTATATTTTTTTAAAACACACACACAAAGAAATTAGATAACTGTTTAGCATCATTGGCACAGGGAGGCCAATCTGGCAAGATATTGAAAAGCTGCTGTGAGATATTTTGCATTCTCTCCCTCCTACATAGGTATGTAATGCCTTGATGACTACAATGAGTTCTATCTTATTGACTTTGGAAGACATTGGCAAAACATCTCCTGGATAAATGCATCCACAATTTACCCAATTAGTATCAGAAATGTATAAAATAATATTTTTTTCTAGCTATCCAACATTTTAATGTAACATGAAAAAAAATACTAACAAAATCAACAACTATATACAACTGCTCATACATAATTCCTAACCTAAGGTCACCCTACATTTTTCCCCTCCTCCCTAAGGTTATGGGATATCCAATCAGAAGACTGAAGCAACTCATCCACAGCACATACTTGAGAACTTACTCTAGCATGCAATGGAACACAGTCAAGTAATCCATGACCAAACATTTTGAACACTGAAATCTGCTACAGAAATCCTCACTATCAAGATTCAGCCACCTGAGAGATGCCAATTTAATTTTGAAATGATCATTAAATTTGCAATTTGCAATGGTGGGAGAGCATTCTCTTTCCCATATTAAAGTGCAGAAAGTTACCTGTTAAACAATAATGTTAAATAGGTTGTACGAGGTAATGTCTAATGTTAATATAAGTTAATCCTAAATTAGTAACAAAGTGTAAATTGTATGGCTTTTTTTAAAAAAAAAGCTTATCTTTTTAAAATATGAGATGCCAAATAGTTAATACTTTTTATCAGGAAAAACTAAGTTTCAGAAGAGAAAGCAATGAAATGACTGACAGAGGAGGCCTTACGGGAACCACTTATGAAATGCTTGATGGCAAAGTTAGCAAAGAACAGGTCAAGAAACAAAGAATATAGGGCCACATGCAAATCCATTTGCAGACTAGATGAATATTAAAACGTATTAAGCCTGCCAAAACAGTGGAAAGAAGTATTAAAAACAATGCTTTCCATTAAAAAAAAAAAATCTAGCAGTAGATATGTGTGCTTCTCATATCACCACTAACCTAGCAGATGGCATTAAATTAAAGAAATGACAGGTTCGCATATGTCTGCATTTAGACTGTCATCTCTAAGCATGCAGATTCCAGTGCAGACCAAAGACTTGCAAATTCAGTCATGCGTTGGTTTGAAGGAGAGAAAAAGAGGATTTTTTAAAAAAAAAAGAAAAGAAAAGAAAAGAAAAACAGCATTTTATCTTTGATAGATGAGAATGTCACCTTTAATGGTGCCTGTTCACAATTTCTCATCCATTACACAAAAATATATCACAGGTTCTGTTTGTGCCGTGACAGCACGTTGACATATTCTTGTGTCAAATGTGTCAAAACTTGCCTAGCTTCCTTGTATCATACTTACTGTTTTTCATCTTGATTAAGACATAAGGCCCAGTCTCAAATACATTCAGAAATAACCCCCAGCCCATTCAGTGGACATTGTTCCCAAAGCAGCACACACATAATTCATTCTTTGAATAGAATTTTGAAGGGCTCAATTTCTGAGGAAAGGTGAATAGGGTTAGGATGTTAAATAGTTTCAATTGGGGGCTAGATGGGTGCCTTACTCTGCAAAGTAATCCCTATTTAACTTGGGAAAATGTTTCATTTCAAACAAGGGGTCCAAGCTAACTTACAAATGAAATTCAGGGCTGTTTGCTCCAAATAAATGTACCCAGAACAATGCTCCAATTACCACAGCAAATGATTTTACCAAACTACCAGTAGAATCGGCAGATAAGAGGCAGAACAGCCATTCGCCGGTTTACCTCCCCCACACTCACACACGCGCTGCCTTACACACCACACAGAGCAAAAGGAGCCAGGTTTGTTTTTATTTTTTTGTTTTTTGTTTAAAAAAAATCCTTTTTCTCTGCTCTTTGGGAAATTCCCAGTGAAAACAACCTGCTTTGCAGCCCTCAAGAATCCAGCTGAACAAAAGAGCTCTGGGCTTCCGTCTTTCCTTAGCCCGACCATCTCCAAACAAAGCGCCATAAATTCATAAATAGACGTTGTACTCGGGCTCAACCGAGGGAAACTTGCACCTGTCTTTCTTGACACAACACACCTGTCCGACATTGCCCATGCGCACTTAGAGCCGAGCGCCCCTTGTCCAATTTCAACGCTGGAGCTTTGTCAGGCGGAGCCAGAGAGAAGCGCACGAACGGTTCCCCCCGCTTCTCCCGTCCGCCCTTGTTTAGAAGAGGCCACCGGGGGCTGTTAACAACAACAGCTTTATAGCCCAAACCGATGTTCGCTCGCCGTTTTACAACCGGTTCTCTCTCCCCCCTCCTTCCCTCTCCCTTCTCCGGAAACACCCTTCGCTCGTCCGCCCGCCGAAGTTCCTGAGCAGGGAGAGCAGCTTTCCAGTCTAGCCGGCGCTTTGACTAGCAACTTTTGCACTGCGCGCTGAAAGTTAGTGCGCTCACGGAGAGAGACA